CAATTTTTTTTTCTTAGAAAAGGAAGGCATTTTAAAATGTGTGTGTAAAAAAATTGTACGACTTGAATTTCGGTTTCAAAAGAAAATTGTGAATTTTATCATATTCCGTATTTTTTTTTTGTTTGGAAAATAGTTACTAAAGTTAATACGAGTAGTTGTTTTTTTTTCTATTTTTTTCCTTCTTTTCTTAAGAAAAATATTAACTGATAATTATTATCATTCTTTTCAAAAAATGATGCAAAAATCATTTTCTTTAGATAGTTGTAATCTCTAAATCATAGTCTTTATCCGAAACATTCGAAAAATTTGCATAGTTGGTTACCATTAAAAAAAAAAACTAAAAGATAGGTATTTCAACAAATTTTTTTTCTTAGAAAAGGAAGACATTTTGAAATGTGTGTGTAAAATGAATTCAAGTTGAATTGGGTAAAATATTTTCACTGTAAAAAGTAATAGTTATTTATTATACAAGACTATAAAGAAATGGTTTATCTACGAGTGACAAAGTCACGAGTGGACTTCTTTCACGAGTAGATAAACAATTTTTATCGTCGTGTATAATATTTCGTTTTATTTTGTACTCACCTACCAGAAATTCTTGAATTTAAACAGTAGATAAAATCCAGGAATTAATTTTTCTATCTAAAAATTTTTAGAATGACGGGTATACAGCGAGCGGCAAAATTATAGAATAATCGTATTTATTAAAACTGAAAATATTTTGTTTTGGAAAAATGCTCGAACAGGTCAATTTTCTTTTAAAAAAATACAAAATTTTTAACTTGATTTAAAATCGTATCTTTGTTTTTTATTGATATTATTTCACTTTTTGGATAATGTTTTTTTTGAAAAACATTTGTAACACATAATATTTTGGTGTCGCCATTTCGACAATTAAAAAATCTATCGAATTCGCTAAAACGTCAAATAAAATGACAAGTGGAAAGGTAAAATCCCATGATCAAAAAGATAACTAAATTTATGATTTACCTTAAAAAAAAAAACGTTCTTATTATTATACGTCGGCGACAAATTCCAGCCCATTTTGCTGTTTTCGACTTGTCATTTTATTTTACGTTTCACATGCAGTTAGTTCAAAAACAGACATACGTACAGTTGCGGAATTAAAAATTCGGACAGTACCTATTTTTCTGTAACTTTAAACTACCTTTTACTGTCATCATAACTGACATTTGACAATTAAACTTATTTTTATTTGTTGTTAAATTTGTTAATTAAACAATTTGTCTGCCTTAGGAAATTTATTAATTAAACTAAGTGGAATTAAATCATCGCTTTGATCTGCTGACTACCGGTAATGACACAAACTTGGGCGCCCACAGGGGGGGGGGGGGCGTTGCCCCCCCTGGGACAATAGTGGTTGCTATTTTATATAAAAGAGATTTTTTTGATTTCTTACAAACGCGTTCTAATTTAAATTTTCATGAACGAAATAAGAAACTACTATTTACATTTTTATCACGAACTGAGTGATATGAAAACAAACGAATAAAACTGTTTCGACTCTTTTTTTGTCCCCCCTGACCATAATTTCTGCGGGCGCCCATGGACACAAATCACTATTTTTGAAAGTAAATAAGTCAAAATGACATAAATATGACAAGAGTAAAAATGAGGTTAATAATTTAAAGGTTGTTTTAGAGTTTACATTATGAAAATGACAGCACTGTCCGAAATTTTAATTCCGCAACTGTACGTTTTTGGATCCAAAAATTACTCGATTACAAATTATTTTGATCTCTCGGTATATGTGTGATTTAAAAAGAATTCTAATGTTCTTATTTAGGTATATTTTTATAAGGTTTTTATATTAAAATTTAAATATAAAAAATTGAAGCTTTTGGTGGCAAGTTTGGACACAGGACGGCTAGTTTGGATCCGCCCTTGACACAATCTAATATCATCAAAACATCAGTGTTGACAACTTAATTTCAAAGACATAGGTCACTTTGATTAAAAATTTATTAAATGTCCTTTGAAAAGTAAATTGTTTTTAATGAAACATAATTTGGAAAAAGACAACAGGGTGCAAAATTAGTTTAAACCATTAGTTAGTCTTTTTTTTAAATAATTTAATCTCTTCTAAATTTGCTTTTTGTACCAAATTGAAAAACTTTAATTTACTAGATTTTCAAAGTTTAGTTTATCACTTTTCAAGAATGGAAAAACCTGTTAGCTAATTATTTTCCCATTTTAGGACCTTACTTAACACATTATCAATACAGCTTTAATTTTTTGATCGTTTTTCGAGTGAAGACGCCAACCAACGTTATTGTTTTCAAGCATTATTAAAAGCACGTGTAGTTCCCCACCTTCGACAGTGCCGTCCGTGGCCTCCACTTCCTTCTTGACATCGTCGACTGATTTGAAATTCTTGACGTACTCCCTGAGACTGACGTCGGTCTGTTGGCATTGTTGCTTGAAAATATAGGCCCCTTTGAGCTGTTCCGTGCAAGTGACGCAAATCATCTTCGGTAGTCTATCCTCGGCTTTCACCTACAAATCGTCCGTGCATTTACCCACACTAATTAATTACGAGGGATATTTACCTGCACCGAGGTACAAGCCATTAGCATCTCGTCAATACGGGGACATTCGGTCAGCAATTCGCAATCATCAAACACCGATCTCATCTCCGACGACTCGTTTTTGCACGCGCGACAAATACGATTCATGTTGTATTCGACCTCCTCCATTCCGAACGCGTTTTGGGGCCCTTTCAGCGAGATTTTATATTCACAACATCGTATTTTTACCGACCCAAGCCAACACAATCGACTCCACTGGACTGGTGGGAAAATGACAGATTGACGTCAGATGGCTCAATGAATGCGCCGATTTTTCGCATTCTTACTCAAATTTTGACAAATTTACCAATAAATGACCCACAGTGCTTGCAAATTGTACAGGAAAAATAACTCCCATGAATATTTCGCAAAATAATGTAGAAATTCGGCGGAAAACTGGTATTGTCATGCGCTCAAAATGTCATGCGACAAAGATTGCATTAGCTATAATTAACATCAGATAGAATGGCCCCAAATTTTTTATTTATTAATACTTATTTGTTTACAAAAGAATTAGAAGTGTTATTTTTATACAGGGTGAGTCAGATAAAACAAATCGTTTTCTTATTAAAATACCCTAAATTTTAATGCACACTGTGTCACTTCAAAAAGTTCACTGTAAACTACCTTTTACTGTCATCATTTGACAAATTGTTGGAAAATTTGGAAGCACTAAAAGTAGAAAACGGCAAAAAGTGGAGATTGAGTGAAGGTAAGAAACAAAAATTCAATCATATTTCTAATAAAGTAGTAGTAGAGAAAGAATTGCAAAATTAGTTTTATTTATTTTCCAAGCCAATGAAGGAAACCAATTTTTAATTTACAAATACATATAGTCCTTATTTTTTATCACCAAAGCGATTTATTTTCATTGTCAAATGAAGAATTAAATTTCTACAAATTGTCCAAATATAGTCAATTTGTTGGTAACACTAATTTTTTATTGACTTTGTTATGCTAAACGGGAAAAAGATATGATTTTTTCAAAGCCAATTGAAGAAACAAATTTAAACATGACAAGAGTAAAAAAATGAGGTTATTAATGTAAAGGTTGTTTTAGAGTTTACATTGTGAAAATGACAATACTGCCCGAAATTTTAATTCCGCAACTGTACATAATAATGCAATGCTTTTCAGGACACACGAACAATAAATTATAAAACATGTTTAATTTTTTTCATGTGACATTGTAATGCTATCTGAAACTTATTTTTTCCATATTTTGGCAATAGTGCAATAAAACGACTTATTTTTAATTACCTCTTTATTTCGAGATATGCCGATTAAATTAAATATTTACAAGGATCACACCGAAAATTTTCCGTCGACATGAATATACAATAAAAAGTGGCAATTTAACTTCCATCTAAAAAAAAGTGCTTACAATTTACAAAAAAATGCATAATTCGTTGACATCGAGATCAATAACCGATTCGTAAAAACAACACAATTCACTGTTGCGCCTATAAATCTATCTTTCATAACATATATACAAGTACTTAATTTACTAAGCCTGTAATGGGACAGATGACAGCTAAATACAATACTGAATATGATATAATTGAGCTTTAAATATTCTCCACTGAAAAAAATTCTTAAAATTTTTAAGTACAACTAAAAGTCCTAATTTCTTTCCACTGCATCTTTCATACGTCCTAAATGTTCAGGATATTCCGGATCATCTGAAAACACATTCATAAAAAAAATCCCCTCCTATAAGAATTTACCATCTTCCGGTTCATTTTCTTCAAGCGGATGATTTTCCTCATTTTCGTAAACTTTGTTACCTTCCATCGCTAACCTATCAATATGTTGTTTGTTAAAACTTTGTTTTTCGGCATTTTTAATATGTTCGTTCAACTCCCCGAACCCAAAATTATCATAGGCCCCTCCCACATGCTGGTCGAACACCTCATGAGCCCCATTCTCCTTATCCGCCTCGTCGGCCTTTTTCGCATCTTCCTTCATCGCAATATCACTTATTTTATTTCTGTATCGATTATTCACAGTCTCTTCTGGCAACTCGTTCTTCTCTTCTTCTTCAGTCTTCTTCTCAACCTCCCGCTTTTCGGGGATCGGCACGACCCCCTCTGGCACTTTCTTCACGTTTTTTGGTGTCACCGTTGGGATGAGTAGAGGCCTCGCCCCGTTCAGACTCCCTTGTGAGACTCTTAAACTCGACGAAGTCGTCGATTTTGTCGGTGTTTTGATAAAGTTCTGATTCGGGGGACTTTGAATTACTTGCTTCTGGGGCTCGACGTGGGGGGCCTTCTCGTCGGGCTTGATTTGGTATTCATTAGCATCGATTTGCACCTGGCGACTGAAGTTGAGACGGGGCGAGGATGTGTCGGGGGAGGCGTTGGGGGCCACCTGAGGGGGCTGGATGGACTCGTAGGTCGGGCATTTGCCCTAAACACAAAATGAATTTTACAAATATTGCCACCGAGCTGATAAAAATATATAAATTGCAAAATTGTAACTTACTAAATAAATTTGATTAAAAAACAGTTTTCTACACACAAAAACGTACCTTCAAATCGGTTAATTCCCTCTGCAGCTCATGGTTAACCTTTGTCAAATGATTGATTTTGTTGGTACTCTCTTTCACATTTTGCTGTAGTTGCTTTTCTAAATCTTGATTAGAAGTTTCTAAATGCTCATTTTTACTCTGTACTTCCAAAAATTTCGTCTAGAAACCAAAAAATAACTCCTCAAATGATAAATTTATTGAAAATCAAACCTTTAAGCTTTCTTTTGAGGCCTTTACGTCTTTTAACTCCTGTTCCAGCTCTTTCAATTTGGCTTGCAAGTCCTCGTATTGCGTTTGCAACAAGTTGAAGTGCTGTTGCAACGAACTGAACCTCACATTCGCCTCGTTCGTGCCCTTCTCATTCTTGCTTTTCTCCTCATTCAGTTTATTCTCCAACTCACTTTGGATTTTTTGATGTTCAGCTTTCTCAGTCTTTAGTGACTTTTCCAGCCGCTGTTTGTAGTCTGAAATCACTGAAAAAACGTACGTCAGCTTGAAAAGTTACCATCGAAGGACAAACTTTGAAGTTGCGTCGACAAATTCTCCTCTTGCTGGTGGCAGATTTCGTTTGACTTTCTCGCATCTTCGAGCTGATACCAAGTGTTATTATAGCAAGCGATAATTCCGGTTATTATTAAAACGCCACAAATGTACAAGAAGATGCGGGCTTTAGTGCCACGTACTATCCGTGAGGTAGTCATCACATTTATTTCAAAAAACGCCACAATTGTTTATAAACATAGAGTGACACAATTTGAACGTAACCTTTACTTTCACGTTTGACATTTGACGTGACCAAATGATAGAGTACTGTATTACCAACACCGAAAATTTCGCAATAAACACCAATTAATTAATATTATTAATAAATTCGGGTAAAAACTCAACTCTACTGGACTTATACTGGGCCAAATAAATAAAAATTGCGCTAAATTATTAAAATAAATGGTTTAGGGGCCAACCCAGCAGTGCGAAACTCCCCACGTATTTTTCGCGGAAGGGGACGCAAACACGCAAACGTCAAACAAAAATTGACAAATGGTGACAGTGACAGTAGGTAAAAATGGCTAGTGTCGGGTTTAGGTGGTTAGATATCTTAGAAAAAGAATTCGATAAGGCTTTCGTAGACTTAGACTTGGCAATAGGTGAGTGAACTCTTATTTTGTTAAAAAATTCACATAATTGTGCCCGTACTATCATTTATCAAGACACATGACACGGTGTTTTTGTTTATTTTGCATTAATTAAGCCACAATTCTCACATTTAAATCATTACAAATTTTTACTTGTTCCAGGTGAACTCGATTCAGAAGAGCCCGACGTTGTTTTCAACGTTCGCCAAAAGTTGTGCAGTCTTAGCTCATGTTTCGCACAACTTACCCACAAGGCACAGACCATTTTTCAAAACAGCGCCAAGATAGAGGTAAGAAAGCACGATTTATTTAAACATTTATTGTGTTCACAAAATTGGACTAAACTTGTTGATAGGTGGTGTCGGTCTCTTCATACTCGTCAATTTCCGGTGTCTTCTGTGTTGTTTGCTCATTTTTTGTGTTGTCACAATCAAATCCACTCCGCACATCGATGAGGTCTAAAACGTTTGATGTGCAATTATTCGGGGAAATTTCTAGTGTTTCATTAGCCCTAATTGTATCAGTTAGCGTTTCTTGTGTTTCAGCCTCGGGTTTCGGTCCGAAGATATCGTCAATGATCCTCCTGATTCTTTCGTCTTTAGTTTCGGTTTCATTTCTCTCGTTTTTATTCGCAACGACGTCAATTACTTCTTGCAATTGCCGGCTTAGGTTCTGATTAATCGCGTCAATTTTGCTCCTGTTGTAGTAGTAATAAAGATAGGCGTTGTTTACTTTAGCTTCCATCCCTTTAATTACACCCGACATATTTCTAAAATATTCATCGATGACTCCAGTGGAATTTTTATGACGGAGCTTTTCGACTATCTCCTTTATTTCTCGGGCGGAATTCGTGAGGAGATCGCCTTGTTTATTGAGGGACGTAATTTTCGTTTCCATTTCGTTCAATAATAACTGGAAAAAAAAAGTTGAAATAAATTGTTTTAAACTCGATTGGGGGCACTTACGTTGACGTTTTTCGACGATAGAGAACCGTTTTCATCAGCGAGAGTGTCTCGGATTAGCGCGAAAAGGGCATTTAGATGGTCGCTGACCTGTTTTAAATCCGACGAGAATTGACGATGCTCTTTGGTCATTTTCTCGTAAGTTGTTACGATGTTTGTCCCAGCTTGATATAAATGTCGCGAAATGTGGGCATCGTGGTTTTTAATTAGTTTCTCTAAATTTTTTATGTCCTTTATTTCAATAGTTGTTCTAAAAATGCTGAATTAGTTTGAATTTAAAACAACTAACCTAAATGTGTTACTTTTTATCGAAAGTTTCAATCAATTTCTCTAAAATGTCGCTGATTTTCGATTCTATTTGAGATTCGTCCATTTGCAGTCGATAGCAATTATCCATGAATAAGTCTTGAGCGTAGAAAACTTTTTTGAAGTTGGAATCAATTTCGTTTTTGAGTTTCTCGATTTCACCCTGATCTATACTTTAAAATATTACTTTTAACTCTGCTTTTTCGTGTTTGTTTACCTGATTGAGGAGCATTGTCTTTGGGCGAAATTTTTCCGATGAGGATCATAAGGGACCTTATCCCGTTTTCTAATTCCGTTTTTGTAGAATTTATTACGGTTTCTAGCGATTCTTGTTTGTTTTGTAGAATAGCTCCGGTTTTCCAATTTTCTGAATTCATTTCGGCTACCTAAAATTTTTTACTGATAAGTCAACCGGAAAACGAGAATCCGTAAGATTACTTAGATAGGTTTTTATTTATTCACGTGATTATAGAATTTCGTAAGAATCTGTGAAAGTTGCGCTTAAATCATTAATTTTCTTAATTTTTATCATCCTTCATTAATTACCTCACCTTGACATAAATTATTATATAAATTTTGTTGTTTTATAATTTTATTGGCGTTTACATTGTTTTAGCAATTATTTTTGTGTTGTATTTATTTGAAATTAAATGCGAAATTTATTTTGCTAGAAATTTGTCAATAACATTTTTATCTTTTTGTGTTCAATGTTACAATATAAAAATCCGTAAACATTATTTGCAGTGTTTGTAGTATTGTTAAATTGGGAAAACGTTGATTTATTTATTATTTCTGAAAATTTACAATAAGCTCGAAATGTTGTTTCTCTACTGCATAGCTTAAAGAGATAAGATAACGCCGAAATTTTATTAAATATCTCTTGCATACTCCGAACGTACAATTTGTGAATATAATAAATAGAAAATTCAGTGCTTGAATTAATATTTGGTGTGAAGATACATATTTAATATTTATAAAAATCTATTTCCGTCAAATGTGAGGCTGATTTTCATTAATTTGTTTCTTTCATTATTGACTAGTTTTGAGTTTTTTTGTTATTATTATTTAATCAATTATTTTTAAGTAGTATTAAATTGCTGTTTGGCTTCTATCATCTATTCATTATTATAGTAATTAAAGTATTTCTGTCGAGTTTTATTTCAATTTCTTGATTAGTTGGATTTACATTATTTAAAAAGTTTATGGAAAATGTTTTGTGTTGACGGTTATTGCAAGTAAGAAAATTTGTCATCTAATTTGAGTTTAATAAATAATGTTCTCATAAAGATGAAAGTGCTTTCGTTATTAACGTTATAAGTGTGAAGCTGTGCTAAGAGTGAAAAAGTAAAAAAAAGCTGTATGGAAAAGTGGCGTTCCTTTATAAAAAATTACAATAATTAATTACCGCTCAACTGTTTTAAAAATTTGATCTTTCCATCTATTCGTTTGAATTTAATTAAAAAAAAATAATTTAAAATAAATTCAAAGGATCATCAAGTATTATTCTAAAAAAAAACATTGAATTAATGATTGATTTTTCCTCTTTTTTTAGTATTTCAATTTAATGAGGAATTGTCATTTTTGTTGTGAAATTCTTAAAGTTGCATGTTTTCTTATACAATGTAATGTCACTCATAATTGTTTGCGACAAAAAATGCATTTTTTTATGTTAAAGATAAAGTAACTTTGTGTTTAATATCGAGTTTGTTCTACATTTAATGCTAATGCAATTTAATAAAGGGAAACAGTCATTGCGGTAAATTTTATTACCTTTAATTTATTATCGAGTTAATTCTGCCAGGGTTTATTGCGGTAAAGGCTTTTGTTTAAGATGTAATACGATTAGCGTGAGAGTTGTAAGAGAAATAAACGAAGCAAATAACGATTATTAGAGGGCTTTCAAAGTAGGAACATGACTACAAGAGCAAAATGAATACAAACATTCGGATACTGTGCTCACATCAAAAGCTTTTTTCGTAATAAATTAGTTACGTCGCCAGTATTAAAAATCCGCTTGAAATACGGATTACCAGCATTAAAAATGTTATAAGCTGAAAGAGCGTTCATCAAGTTCTAATTAAAACCCTTTTACCTGCATTTCGCAGGGAAAAAATCCACCGGATTTAAGAGTCACAATTATACGAGAGTGAATCGTTTTTAACTTACTTTTACGGCATATTCATTAAGTTCCCGTTTTAGTTCTAGCTTGAGGCTTTTTAAAAATCGATCCGTTTCGTTAATGGCCTGCGATCCCATTTGGATCCCATTTTCTAACCTGTCAAAATCTCTTGTCACGTTTTCGTACAAAGTCTGTATAGCTGAGTTGGATTTGTCGTTGAAGCTTTTCATTAGTAGCATGTGCTCTTTGAGAGAAATCTGAAAATTACGGTTTTAAAATTGGTCCAGAGTAGTGCGTTTTTTGAACTCACCTCAAAGTTTTCATTGGTGTTGTTGACAATGCTTTCTTCTGCTGCTTTGAAGCTGGTTTTTAAGTCGTCGATGGCCGCAATGGCGTCTGAGAGCTCCAAGTCGATGTCTTCGTTTCTGCGAGTGAAACCATCTTCCATTCTTTCCAGACGTGTTAAGGTGGTGTCCAATTTACTCTGCAATATTTTGTGAAATAAATTGATGTTTTTGTACTTCTGTGATAAATTTCTACCTGTATTTTGTTTACGCTAGTTTCGAATTTCCTGTCAACGTAGCCCATCCTGTGGTTGAGGCTTTCATAAACAGCGTCAACTTTTTTCATGAGGTTTGTTTTGGCAATATCGTCTTTAAAATTTTTCGTGCTTATATTTTCCGATATTTTATCTAAATTCAGCATGACTAACGACTCTAATCGGATTATTTTCGTGTCGATTGACTCGAGTTTTCTTTGGTATTGTTCTAATTTCTCTTCAAGAGTTGGCGATAAATGCATCGAGTAGATGTTGTCCAAGTTTCTCAGTCGTTCCTCAATCGATATCAGTATCGATTGTAGGTCCTATAAAAAAATAAAGCAATTTAAGGTTGCTTCATTACGAAGATTATTTAGAATGTGCAGGATGCTCAGCTCGGCAGAATTTTCATTTAAAGTTGGTGAAGTCAGCAGGAAATTGAGTTATTTCAAATATTAGCCAACATTCGTGTGTCTAGAGCAAGGTGAAGGCAAAATTAGAGGCTTAAGTCGATCGTATATCTTTGCACAAGTCTAGGAATATAGACCGTAATCGCAGGAACGTGGTTTTGGTCGTGTTATTTTTCGGGTTTATTTCGGACGTGTTTGCAACTCACAATTACATGCACATACACGCTAATGACGCTCATTAGGCTAAAGAGGGTTAGTCAATTTCATTTCTGTGCTAGGATTCAGTGTGGCTTTAAATTACATCCATTTAGAGATTTTAAGCAATTTTCAGAAGCAGAAGTAATAAATTCTTTTTTAACATTCGTTGAGTTTTTTTCAAATTACATTTAAAAACTCGAACAACGAAAGGGACGATAAAATTTACGCTAAATACTGTAAAAAGTAAGTTTATTCTTTCTTTGGGTACATACGTTCTGGAAATAAAGTATTTAAACAGTTTGGAAGTGAATTTAGAATTGGCCAAAGAAAACAATCGGTTACCGATCGTGGAACAAGACGAAAGTAATTGATTCAAATTGGTTTTATTCTGCCCTTTTCAGCCAAACTTACTTTTATTTATTAGTCAATTAGAGGGTGAATTTTTTTATTATTTTTTATTAAATTAAATTTTTATTTAGTTTCCTATGAATATGTATCAAAAAATGTTACGTAAGCGAGCTACACCCCTTGAAAGAGATGCGTTTTTAATGGGGTTTTCCCACTATTGTAGAATAGATAAAATTACTGGTACAGCTGATTACTTTTAAACACCTGAACGAATTTAAAGATCAGTAGTCGAAAGTTTTATTCACGGGTCTTTTAAACGGTGAACCAAATTTAATTTTTATCCTTTTTATAGTCTGTAAGACAAATTGTAAACTGATTTTACTCAAAAATGGTAAGTTTTATCGAAAAAACGCAAGAGACCTCTTTTTTGTGAAAAACTATGAAATTTAGAATTTTGTTGCTGAAAGTGGCAAAAACCAACCGCCAAAATATTTACGGTACTTTTTACCCTAAACCCCCCAGTTTAGGACGCCCCTGAGTAAAAATTTCGACATTTTATCTTTGAATTCATTTTGGTGTATAAAGGTTATCAGTTGTACCAAATTTTGTAATTTTATTGGTTTCTGAAATATTGGAAAAAATGCACCCCTATCAGGGGATGTGGCTCCCTTATATAAAATTTTGATATACAGGGTGCGCCAGAACTCGCGCCCCAGAGAAAAATGCCATATAAGGTAAGATACCAGGAACATGGAAAAAATGTTAAAAAAAAATTATCTATAAAAATTTCGAAGTTATGAGGGTTTAAAGTTTGCACTTTGACACTATTTATTTCTGTTGGAAAAATAATTTTCAAAGTTTTTTTGCTATAGGCTATTAAAAGAGAAAACAAGGAAGCTGTACCCTAAACTGTAACTCTGTTCAATGTTATTTGTGGCTTTTATTGGCAAAATTTTTGTCCCTTTACTAAATAATTGTAAAAAAACATATACAAGATCATCAATATCATTTAGTAGATATAAAAAATGTCAAATGTCAAAAAATAAATGTCAAAATTTTTTGACAGATAGAATTTTTTAAACATTTTTTTCATGTTCCTGGTATCTTACCTTACTTGAAAATTTTCGCTGGAGCGCGAGTTCTGGCGAACCCTGTATGTTTAAAGGAAACTTTTATCTTAAAATTGAATATTCTATCACCTGGTTAAATTTGTAACAATAAAAATGGAACAGCCCTGTACATTTTAGAAAACAGCTTACCAGAACTATTTTTGAAATTTTATACAATTTCAGGATTTTTGAAGTTTTTCGGATGCAAAGTTTTTTAATGTGAAGTTTTGAAGTGAGTATGATATTTTAAAAAATAATGAATAATAATCATGTTCTATTTTCTATTAATTTTTGTTCTGTGACGTTGTGGGATTGGCTACCTGCTAAACTAGATTATCTGCAATATACGGCTAGCTTAGAGACATAATATTCCCAAGTTTTATCAGGATTTTGATATCGAACCCGTCCTCAGGGTTATACCGGTCGTTGAGAGCTTATATCTCCATTAGCGACATTGGACGCCTCCAATTTAGACCCTGAATACACCTCCTCATACAAGTTCAGTTTCAGTTTTAGTACTCATTTAATCGCAATCAAATAAGCTGCTTTGACACTCATCCAGACCAAAGCTTTACATTTTATTCAAATGTTTGAGATTATCAGCGTCGTTTCGCTTGACGTTGAGAATATAAAATAAAGCGGTGAATACAAATACGTTCAACAAAAGATTGTAATACTGTAAAATATGTAATCAATTTTTACGAGCGGTCATATTGATCGAAGAAAATTTGCCCACTTGTCAGACCGAACTTTGGATTTTATATGTGAGTTTCTGAACTTGATGGCTTCTAATTAGATTCTGATTTAGTTATAACAATGGGTTTGATTTTGTTTTTTGCATGTTTAAAGTAGCTTTCAGCTATTCGCTTTTGTAATGTCGAAGTGGGGATTTTACATATATTGGGGTCGCGATAGCCAAAGAGAAATCGTGTCACTGAGGGGTTGTTTGAGTGAGATTACTGACAAAGGAGCAACGTGATGGTGTCAACATTAGTGTCTTTGAGGTGAAGTCTGCGTGTTGAAATGAGTAAACGCCTTGGAGGGTTCGTTAAAATGAAGTTTGCTTTAGTTTTCTTGTTGCGAAAAGTTGCAGAGACACACTTCAGAAAAACACAATCGAGTCTGTTTCGTTTGAGCTAGAAGTTGTAATTAACGAAAAGTTTACTTATTTAAAAAAAATAAACGCAGCTTTTTAAGGATTTTTTTATTAAAGTAAATTATAAATTTTTGTTACTGTTATAGATTTAAGGATAAGAACTTTTACCATTTGTTACCTATCCAAAAATTTCGTCGAAGTTTGTTATCTCGTTTGAGATTATTAAGTCAATAATTTTATCGAGCATCATAGTATGTGCACATGCAGTAGAATTTTACCAGTGTACAAGAATGTAATATGTTTGATTGATTGATTCAAACAACCTTTTCATTTATTTTTAAATAAAGTGGAAAATTCATTGTTTGTATTTTGTTGTTGTTGATTGTTCTATTAACTAACGTTTCAAAACGTACTTTTTAATGTTTTTATTGTAGTTGATTTTGTAGAGAAGTAGAAAATAAGGGAATATCAAAATAAATAAAAGAGGAATGAAACATAATAATGATTTTATATAACATAGTTCCGTGATGAAAAATGTGTCTTTTTAAATAATTATTTGATAATAGTATTTAATTATGTTTTTTTTTATTTAGATATACCCATGTTTTTCTTTGATGATTACTTTAACAGTTTGGTCAAAAAGAATGAGCACATTTTTTGTATTTAATTATTTTTTTAAGCTTTTTTTGTACAAAAAAATAATAAGAAATTTAAATGATTTTTCTAGATTATTTCACAAAATTTAAGCCAATCAGATTCAAATTACGCGATAATTCGGCATATGTGCAATAGGGTAAGCCGAAAAAAATCATTTTTTTATTTTGAATTTGTAATAGCGCGGAAAAGTTGCGAACTATATAGACACAAAAAAAGAAAAAAAGTCATTAAAATCGGCTGACATTTTCAGCTCGCCCTAAAGTTTGACAAAATATGATAAAACTTATTATTTTTTAAAATTTGTTAATTAGATGTTTTCTGAAACACAATGTTCTTATGTTCAAAAATAAAAATACTGTAATTATTACTTTAAAAAATATACATTAAAGATATAAAAAAGAACTCATTAATTTTCAATATTTTGGCAAATTTTGGGGGTTATGCGTGACCGGAAGATATCAACTGATCTAAACTAAATTAAAACACAATGTTTTTGGGCTCTATTTGAGGACGTTACAAACTATTACATTACGAAATAATCTAATTACAAAATTAAAAAAAAAAAATAAGTTTTTTTTTCATATTTTGTCAAACTTAGGGCCTATGCGCGACCGGAAAATGTCAACCGATTTTGATGATTTTTTTCTTTTTTTTTGTATAATTCGCAACTAAAAAAAAATTAGTTTTTTCGGTCTATCCTAATGTGCAAATTATCGATAATTTGCCCGTGAGCTAAATTACCGCGAATCTGATTGGATGAATCTCAGAAATTTGAAAGATTTCATTGATTTAATTTTTTACAAATAATTTTTTTAAATAAAAATATTGTTTTTTGCAAATTTTGTTCGGGAAATTATCTACAAAATACTCCTCGTGCATGCCAAATTGATTCTAATTTTATCGACAATTTGGAATGCACTGGGGATATTACTATTAATAATTTATTTTTCAGAAGAATATTACATAATTTATATTTTGAAAGACTATTATTTGAAAAACTATTTAATTAATCTTTTAAACTTTTTATACAAAAAAATTGAAACTTAAATAATGATAATTAATTTTCTTTATTGAAGTCTGGGTCTTTTTGGGTAGCTAGTTCGTCTAATATTAATTTATATTTTAAAAGAAAATTTGAAAAAAAAAGGTTTGAAATTTAAATTTTTTTTTTTTTCTAAATGTAAAATAAATTCTACATTTGATTGGTAAAATCCGTGTTTATAATTAAATGAAAAAAGTAAATTAAGTGGCATTGGCATACAATTCCAGTAGCTTCCAATAATAGATTGGCAGAAAAATCGCCTCCAAATTAACAAGCCATAAATCAGCAATTCCATTGGGATAATAAACACAAATTGAAACTGCAAATGGCAATCATAACTGCCAACAGCACGAAAATAGAAAACGCGCTCTCAAAACGAAATCCATCAATATTAACAGCTCGACATCATTTCTCACTATTAGAAGCTTCAAAATTGATAAATACCGGACTTCTCCCCATTAGTCATTTCCTTGTGCAGCAGTTAGTTGAAAAAATGTATTTCAAAAAGTACCTGCTGATGTACCGACGTCTGAAAGCTCTTGACGATGTCGTTCTGTGTCGGCACTGCGTTAACAATAGAACACCACGCGAAGAGTTTGAGCGCGAAAAACGTCCACATGATGGAGTTCTTCGGTCCGTAGTGGCAGATTGTTGTTTGGCCAAGTCCGGCCAGTCGGCGGCTTCTTATTTAAAAACTGACCAAAGAGGATCGCGGTTTACACTTCAATCAGCGAAATTGCATTTCTCAACACGCGACTCTTTGCCGGATCATAATTCACGCCGTCGTCTAATCAAACTGGATTTCGAGACGGGAAAAATACGAACGTCTTCTGTATTATTTGTTTTGAGACGACGATGATCATGATGGTGATGGTGGTGTTTCGTTATCTCAAAGACAGTTTGCTCGACTAATCTAAACAAATAGGGACGAGTGTAGCAACCCCGACGGATTCCTCTCTGTTTATACGATGGTATTTTTTATGGCTTTTTTCTGGTGTGTGGTCTAATTATGGCGAGGGTAATTTAGAAATTTTGATGTCACGGAATGTCGCTTTATGGGTGCTTTTCGGGGAAGCATTTGTCGTGGTTGAGAACTTGGATCATAATATTTAAAGGAATTTGTGGTTTATTTGTTTATGTCAACGGGGTGAGTCATCTTTAAAAAATCCTGGAATGTTAAGTTAATTAAAAATTGTATCGTGTTTTCTTAATTTGTTTTTGTAATTGTGGTCTTCTTAATAAAATATATCTAGCTAATTTTTTTTCGACAATAGACACAAATCAATCTAATTACCAAAATAATACATTTAGGTATTCACAATCACTATAGCAATATGCCAATTTTTTTATTTTTTGGAAGTCGACAAATTTGTCATTACATCCCTTGGTCGGGAAGTAATTTATATAAGATTATTTCGGTGGGAACGTCATAAGTTCTCGATTGTAATATACATACTATACAGCCTTCTTTGTTTCTTCTTATAATAGCCTGGAAAATGACTTTGAAAATTATTTTTCCAACAGAAATAGAGTCAAAGTGCAAAATTTAAACTCTCATAACTTCGAAATTTTTATAGATAGAATTTTTTTAACATTTTTCCATGTTGACCGTACCTGGCATTTTCCTCTGGGGCACATCATCCCAAACATGGTCATAAATTACCAGAATTCTGAATTTTCAATATTAAAATATTAATTACTCAAAATCTATCAACTTTTACATTATTAAATTTTTACAGTTACCATTAGAAAAAATCAAGGAATTTTATCATGTAGAAAAGATTCCAATAAATTATTTTTTTTTCAAATTTGGTTTTTACTGACATTCGCTAAAAATTTTAAACAATTTAAAAATACAAAATTGAAGTCTATATAATCCTCTATTGTTTGCACTAGCAAAAAATTTTTTTAATCAATTAGAAATAGGTATTTATTTTTGTACCGGCTCTTAAACTTGGGACATGAAGAAAATCAATTTCTATTAAAAAAAAGGAGGTCTGTAAAAATACAGGGTACGCTAAAACTCACGCCCTAGAGAAAATTTTCAAGTAAGGTAAGATACCAGGAACATGGAAAAAATCTTTCAAAAATTCTGTCAAAAAATTTTGATATACATTTTTTCACATTTTACATTTTTTTATGTCTATTTAATGACACTGATGATCTTGTGATAAAATTTTAAAATATTTTTTTTTTTTACATTTTTTTCCATGATCTTGGTATCTTACATTATATGGCATTTTTCTCTGGGGCCCGAGTTCTGGCGCACTCTGTATGTTATGACTAATGTAATAAATACTGACTTATTATTTCGTGTTTTCAGTTTGATGTTTTGTTTGATTTGTGTGCATTAAAAAGAAAAACTTATTAATGGAAAAAACATTGTTTAAAGAAATTTTAGTCTTGAACCCTTTTCTTGTCTTCTTTTCTTATCTTTTGAATAAAAAATGCAGATATCTACAAAACAAAAGGATTTCTGTATTCCAGATGGTCTCGTTTTATCTCTCGAGATATTCTTATTAACTTTGAAGTCCTAAGTTATCCTAAATTATTATTTTTCGAAATTTATCTATTTCAAACGGCTGTTGCCTAAAGGGTTTTATTTCTAATAAATTAAAAAGTTTAGAAGCTGTTATATAAAGTCTAATTTTTATAATAATTTTGAAGCAAGCCAAGTGGGGAAAACACACAGTTTTAATAGCTTTAACATCTTTATACTCGTAAAATAAATAAGAGTATCATTATGAGGTGAAAATATAATGTAATGAGACTACAAACTAGACCAATGCTTGGTATTTTTCGTTTTACACAACCATAAAAATGAAAAATAAAATTCTCCATCACATAAATCGTGCATTTTTTACGTTCAACCAGTATCCGTTCAGATTTATGATAAAAAGATAAACACATTTGGAAGCGACAAAAAGCTGTGCATATTTTATTTGTAGCTATATTTTCTACAACAATCTTTTACATTTTATTGATTTTGTCTAGTATTTTTGATGAGATGAAAAATCGAATCTGGAAAGTGTAAATTTAGAAGCAGTAACATGCTGTCTTAGATTTGCTTTTTTTCTTTATTTGCCGATCGATATCTCAGCTATAATTCAGTAAATAATGTTGACTTGCATACAAATTGTGCGAAAAGTATGAGTCCTTCTCTTGGTAATTTCTACTAAGGCATAAGTTTGCTTTTCTTATGCGTTGACCTTTCCGAAATAAGTTGAATTGGGCGAAATAGAACGATCAATAGAACATTGACTTACTAACACCAGGAATTTCCCAAATTAGATTGATCAGCAAAGCAATTGAAACTCCATATTATTCACAATCAAGTTGACAACTCCAATTCGGAGAGTGATTGACGAATTGTAAATTGCCCAACTTAACAAGATTTAAATCGATTTCGGATTTGCATCGTGTTAATTACGTTTTTTACACGAAATTTTGTAATTTTGGCTTTGATCTCATTGCCTCGGGGGTGAAAATATAATAAAACCGTAGTTAATTTTAATGGGGGTCATAAAATTAGCTTATTACTTGCGTAAGGAAAAGCTTTTCCTATAATATTATTGCGGGAGTTTTCGTGATGGGTTTTCGACCTGAATGAACCTCATTTTAATGACATTGGAAACGATAGTCCCTGTTACCGATATTCCATTGTTAAAACTAAACTTTGAGTTTATTAACGATGGAAATAATCATTTGGGAATCGACTTTTTTAATCGGAAAGCGGTGTTTAAAGATAAATAGACGTTGACAGGAGTTTTCCAATTAAACTGGATTTAGCAGATCGAGCAAAAAAGGTTGGGGTTTTACATTGGTTGCAAAGTTTTTAAATAAACTTGCCAGTTCGGAAAATGTCGATTTAACGAGCAGTTTAACGAAACAAGAGAGGATATTGAAGCACGATTTATTTTAATCAATATTTTAATTTAAGGACTGTGGTACCATCTAATGTAAATACACAGAAAACGTTAATATTTTTTCATCACCAAATTTCAAATCGATTAAGTGTGAAATGGTTTTAGTTTATTTCTTGAGTACTAAATTTTTATGGTAAAATTTAATGAAACTTCAACTGTTTTTGATAACAGTTGATAAATTGGAATGTACTTCCTTTTAAGTGATATCAATTTTTGAAGCCCACTAAAGAACAAAAACAATCAATTCTTGCTGATTAGCACGTTTTTAATGAGATTTTTAAGTTGCGCACATAAAGAATGGATCAGATAAGTTTTTCTCAGTCAATTTTCCTGTTATTAAAGTAAAAAGAGCTCAACGTGGCGAAAATCAGTTAATATACTTGAAAAAAGTTAATTGCAAACTTAATGAATGGCATTTTAAAGGCTGTGCTATTAATGGTAGTTTGACCTTTGAGGACTATCCAATTTCTTTCTGTGGATTGCGTGGCAGATGATCGATAGTAACTGATTTTTTCCCCTTTTTTCTTTCGTCCTATATTCCTTATACAATTAATTAGTCGTATTTGAAGTATACATAACAGATTGAATCTTTTTTATCCACAATAGCCTCTCGAGGATAATATAAATTGGCTTAATCTGTGCTTCATGTTTTTTTTATTGGATTTGTGTCATGAACCTTGAATATTTGTAAGTTTCTTGCCAAGTTGTTCTTGTGCTAAAGCAACGTTTCATTATTCAAATGCGATTTAATAAAGTTCGAGCTGAAAATGCGCTTTATAACTGTCACACGAATTGATTTATTTCTCTTTTCCTCCGTTTAAGTAAAGTAATTATTTGTAATAAGTTTGATTAATCGTCGTTTGAAGAGCAAATTGTGGAAATCTAATCATCAAGAGCCAAAAACAAAAGTTAATTCATTTGAAAAATCGGAGCGGTTTAACGCATCCGGAAATTAAAACGTTAAAGTTTACGATATGCACGCTTGTTTTGAGTTGATAAGCTTTTTACCCTGAAGGAGTCTTTTTATTTCATAACACGTTAAAGGAGAAATGGGGTTTTGTTTTGGTTTTCCTTCCGGTACAATGAAAATATTGATTTTGCTATTTGACTGAAACGATTTTCTTGTTCAAGTTGAAAGAAAAGCTCTTTGGTGGTGATGAGAAATACGAGGAGAATTTAATTTTTTTAGTTTGTGAGTGAGATCAAATAAGAATCAGGTTGTCCGACGATCTAAAATAAAATTAGATTGACATTTGATAGGGAATCCAGATGATCCAGTGATCCATTTCGTGTCGCGAGATCGTGACATGAATTATTCAAGTGTCGCAAGAAATGTACGATGACCCAAGGGTCGGAAGGCCTTATTTGTAACTTGTTTATGGAAAAAATTGAGTTTTGTGCTTCAGCTGTAATACCGAAATAAATATCAAAATGTAGAATTCTGTTTTTTTTTGAGATTTTTTTCATTCACTGCTTGAAACTCTTAAAATTTGAAAGTTTTCGTCTCAAACTTTCGTCAATTTTACTCAACTAAATAGTCAGTCTCGGCGCTTCAAGTGCAGTAATTTTCTCGTCAATTTTGATGAAGATTTATTATTGAAACGTGTATTTACAATTTCCGATGTAGACGCCCTTCGGTCGGGTCAAACTGGAACCTTGATCGTTGCAGAAGTGGTCTTGGAACGGTTCTGTTTTCTATCAAATCCTTTATTGCATTCGTCACATCTAAATGTAATTTTTTGCAAGCCGTTCTCGTGAGAACTTGAATTTTATCGGCGATGTTTTTTTTTCAGGCTGAACTAATCCACATGAGGGCCGAATTGGTCGAATCGAAGGCGAAGAGGGAGCTTTTAGAGCAAGAACTGCACAATTTGTTGCTTCAGTTGCACTCGTCGCAGCTTTCGCAACTACCCGACAGTCTCGGTAATCGCAAACAAGACCCCAACTTCAAACCCGACGTAAATAACATCAAGAAAAAACTAGAAGCGGAACTCCGACAAAGTCCCATACGTAATATTAGACGTAAGTGTGGATTTTTTCGGCAGAACTTGTTAATAAAACATGAAATTCATCGACATGTGTCCAATCAAAAAATTTTATTAAAGGAGTTTGCTTCCCCAACACGAGAACTGTTGAGTTTCTCAATATTTCAGCAACTTTAATAAAGTTATTTCGGCTTTTGTGCGCTTTGTGTTATCTCTGGGGCGATAAAGAGGGACCACCGTATTTTATTTTCGGTCATAACTCATTGTGTTTGTGGCATTCGAACAATCTCTTTGCGGCTAAATCGAATGCTTGTAACCCGATTTTATGCAAGGCGACGAAGGGATGCAGCATTGCACGGAATTTCCGGGCCAACGGATAAATGAAATACTAATCGCTTTTTGAAAGCCTGAAAAGTTGAAATTACCAACGCTTCAGCAGTTTTGTAATGATTTTGCTAATTCCCAGGATAATAATTTAATCTCTTGGGAATAATGTTTCGCTCATAAGTAATCTATTTAAGTTTTTTTTAAGTTGCATAAGAAGAGTTTATTGATTTATTTTGTACAAGTATTACGCTGTCCCAGCGATCTGAAAAAGTCCATTAGTGATCTTTAAATATTAAAATTAGAAAAAAAAATATAGGCCATTGATAGATACTAATCTAGTCCATCGCCTAAAATTATTTTCAACGATACAGCGTGTCTCAAAAATAAGTTACAATACAAATTTGTGTTTTTTTAAATGAAACACTATATGTTTCTTAGCGTTTTTGGATGTAGATTTTTATGGCAATGTTTTTAAGCTAAACTTTTATTGGTCGATTTTGCTTAGTTTTAAAAATAAGACGGTTTTTTTGACGAAAACACAAAAACTAATACATCTAGAAATATTGTTTTTTACTACCGCACAGAAAAAGGTACAAGCTATAAGGTTGTAACATTTATTTAGTATCTTGCATTTGCAAAGATAAAAAAATAAAGGCATTTTAAAAGTTCAATAACTTAAAAAATTGAAATGGTTTTTACATTTAAAAGATTATTAAATTGTTAAAAAAAAAATACTATTGTTATTATTGTTATTGTTAAAAGTTTATTTTTTCATATAGACAATTTATCAATCTATTAGATGTAAAAATAAAAGATAGGGTGTTCCATTTAAATTTTTTAAGTTATTTAACTTTTACCAAACTTCTTAATTTATTAATCTTTGCAAATGCAAAACACTAAAAAATTGCTATAGCTTTAAATTCTGTTCTTTCTTCTTTGCAGAAGTAAGAAGAAAGTGTTCTAGCTGTCATAGTTTTTGAGTAGTGGATTTCTAAAGAGTTTCCTCAGAACATTTGAAACGTCTTTTGAACGTTTTTGAGGCCTAAACCATTAACCATTAGGTATGGTTTCGAGGACTTTTTACTAGAAAATTTTATTTTCTACAACTTTGTTTCTTACATTTTTCTTGTATATTTAACCGTATTTGCAGCATTTTGAAAAACATGAAGCGGAGCACAGATTTTAAATTTTAAATATTTTTTTCCCATATTTCTCGTGAAAAATTTAGTCGTTTGTTTTTCACAGCTTATTAAGAATATAAATCTCAACAGTTTTGCATTTTTTTCCAAGCAATTAGTAAATTTGTTGAATTTAAATTAATTAAAAACGATTTGAAACTGAGACGGTAAAACGCTCTAAGCGTCCTCATTTTTACTCCACCGTACTACTTTTTTTGGGTCCAGAAAATCAAGCAATTTTGTATCTCGTTTCGTCTCCTAGTATGTAGTTCTCCGTAGTCGAAACTTATTTTTGGGAGATGTTGTAGGGTTGAAAATAATTTTAGGTGATGCACTAGAGTAGTAGGAATCTATCAATGTCCTATACATTTTTTTTAAATTTTATCATTTATATATACACCCTGTATAGTCATTGTAGTCTCCCCCGTGCAGATTATTGTGCGAACAATAACTCTTCATAATCCTTGCCGCAATCCCTTACAGTTTTGGAGCTTAGTTTCAATTCTCACCTCGCAGAATTAAAATTTATAGTCTGCAATAATCATCCGAAAACAATACTGAATTCGATCTCAATTTAATTTTTCAGTAAACAAAGAATCCGACGAACTTAAGTTCAGTCCGACGCTGATGGAAACGGCACAATGTCGAGCCGAGAACGAACAACTCCAGATGGAAAACGCGGCTTTAAGAAAATCCATCCTGGCGTTGAATAGTGAAGTGTACGGCGCGAAGCTCGCCGCGAAATATTTAGACAAGGAATTAGCGGGAAGAATACAACAATTACAACTCTTAGGTAAAGAGAATGAGTCAAAATCGAATTTCTCAGTTGAAGTTTGTCATTTTCAGGAAGAGAAATGCGAGGAGATGTTCGTGATAAATTGTGGCGTCAACTGGAATCTGAAATTCTACTTCAGAGACACAAAACGGTAGTGAGAGCGTGTAGGAGAAATAGCATTTTGAATAATTCCGAAAAGACTTGCCCCAAACCCGAGATCGATCCGGTCAACGAACGGACGGAGCATTTTGGGGATATAAGAACGGTGGTGGTGAAGCGTAATCCCAGTCAGGGATTGGGAATCAGTATAACGGTATGTATGAAAGTGGCAAATCCTAAACTCTGGTAAAGTTTGTTTTTTTTTTAATGGAAATTACTAAGTCAAATTTTGGTGAAAAAATTGGTAGCAGCTTGTCTCCATAGTCACAAATTTTGTTTGCTCTTTGTTTTTGTCCCTAGAAATTTTGTTAAAAAATTATGGTTATGGTATGTTCAAATTGAGATGTTGTCAAAATTTTGACTTTTATGAATCTTGTATGCCCGTTTGCTCTTTGAAAACGCTATAATTGAATACCTGAGGACAGACATCATTACCTAAGGTCAAAGACAGAATTCAGTGCTAATAATTTTGATAGAAGCACACCGCAAGTAAGTAGTGTTGTGGACAAAAATGAGGTTCTTGCTACAAAAACTTTGAAGAAAAAGGATGTATATACAGAAAAAGTTATTTAGCAAAACATACAAGCAAGGTTTATGAAGATCGCCAATAAATTTTGTGAAATTTATTGAAATGAGCTCAAAGTTGATGCATTTTATAAATTCTTCTTCAGCTTTAYTTTKAAAATTGTTWCTTTTACAACTCGTTCCTCAAAAACGATGCACAAGACACTGTTCTTTCCGAGGTTCTTCCTCATTCATGTTTATTTTGTATTCTTGTCAATTTCTTGCTAAAAATTAAGAATGTTTAGCAAACCTACATTACAAATTGCGTCTACTTTTTAACGGGCCCTTTTTCTAACTTCCTGCTTGCAAACTATTCGTTTCCAAATTTCTAAAAACTGTTACCAGTACCGAATTTGTTTCTTTTTTGGTGTTTCAACTCTAAATTTTCTTAGAGGATTTTTTGTGTTGACGTTTAACGATATTGTTTTCAAATTAATTCAAAAAACCGGAACTGCAACTTCTTTTATTAAAATTACCATGCATGAATTTACTAGTGGTGCCAACGTTAAGACTGTTTGGCATTTCCATTTAAAAAAAGAACAGACTTTACATAACTATAGCACCACTTAAATTTTTTGAAATTTCAGCACTTTTAAAACAGTTATTTAAAAAATATTAATATCAAAAGATGGAATATGATTCAATATTTATTGAACCAGAATATTAAAAAAATTAAACATGTAATTGTAAATCAATTAGAAAAAAACTCATTTTTCCTTGGTGCATAACAATAGCACCACATAAAATTCAAATTGAAAAAAGGCAATTATACAGTTTATATTCTTAATTTAATAATGAGTGACTCCTCCATTTTGACGAATGACTTCAAAATTCTGTTAGGCATGCTTTCAACCAGTTTATGAAGAAGCTCTTCGTCCAAATTATTCCACGCTTCTCTAATGGCTGCCTTCAGACCAGCCACGGTTTCATACTGATGATTTTCTTTGTATACCGAACGAACAAGAACTCCCCAATGATTTTCGATAGGGTTTAAATCTGGCGAACAAGCCGGCCACTCGATAACACGCACTTCTTGTCCTTCTCGCCATCGTAGTGTTTTTTAACGTGAATTCGGGCGTTATCTTGTTGGAACAGCCACTCATTTCGATGATTATTTTCAAAAAATGGCATCAAATGACCATCCAATACTTCAATATATTCTCCACTGTTCATTCGTGAAGAAGGAAATATATTGAGAAATATCGGGGTTCTTTTCTTAGATCTCTCCAATACGAGTTGAACCCATCAGGTCCATCCATATTGAATTTTTTTTCATCCGAGAATATCATCTGAGTAAAATGCTCGTAATTATCGTCAGTAATTAAAAAATTGTAAGTTTTTAAGGTAAATCATCATTCTTACTTTTTGCCAATTTTGATGCATATTGTCTCGTGCAAATTGAAGTCGTGACTTTTTTTGCCTTTGAAGTAGTCTCGGGGCAGTTTTTAATTTCTGACGCTTAATGTGGGGACTCCATCGCTAGACATTAGCGTCAATTTCACTAGAAATGGCATTACAACTTTTTAAAGAATTACTCGCTAAATTGATAATCCGGCGTGCAGAACGTGGAGAAATTTTCTTTTTGGGCCCTCCCTTCTTATTTTGTAGTGCTCCGGATCTCGCAGGAAAGTTATCACGACCTTATGGGACCGATTAATTTTACGAGCAATGGCTCGAATTCCAACATCTTCTTTTCTTAGAGCCAAAATTTTACCTTTTTCAAGTTCAGTAAGGTAATTACCGCGAGACATTTTAACAATAATGAATTAATACACAATGACAGAAACGTCATAAGGTAATGAAGACTCAAATATTGAATATGAATTATGTGGTGCATAACTTGCACCACGGAAAAAAATGTTTTTTTTGGAATTAATTCAAAATTAAAGGTTTAAATGTCATTATATTTTGGTACAATAAATATACTGCTCCACAAAAGTTAAGGAAGTGTGCAATAATTACAATAATTAATTATAAATTATTAAAAAAAATATATTTAATTAAAAGTGAGGAAGAGACAGATGTCTTTTTATTTTATTGTTTTTGCTGGACTCCACAATGCTTAGAAGAATAAAATTTGTTTGTTGTAAAAATAATTCGACTTCCTTAACTTTTGTGGAGCAGTTTATTTAATCATATTCCATTTTTTGAAATTAATATTCTTTAGATAATAATTTTAAAAATAATAAAATTAAAAAAAAATAGGTGATGCTATAGTTATGCACCAGAGTTTAGATTTAAAAAATCCCTAGGGTGGAAGGGAGCACGGCGTGCCTATCCTGATCTCGGAACTGGAGCCCAACGGCCCCGCCGCCTTATCAGAGCAGCTCTACATCGGCGACGCAATTTTATCAGTAAATGATCGAGACTTGCGACAAGCCTGTCATCGAGAAGCTGTCGATATCCTTCAGCAACAATCCGGTGATTGCACGTTACAAGTACAATATATCGCCGCTGATGACAGCGACACTTCTCTCGAAGAGGACGGTTATAATTTCCGGTTGGACTAATCCAATTCTTTGAATATTTAACCCTAAAACTTATTTTTTTTTAGGTTTTTTGATGGAGAAGTGTGTGACTCGAACAATCACTCTAGTTTAAATCCCTCAAACTCTCTAGACATGTTAAATACCCCCACTGCACCTAGAACTCCCGAATCAAGTTCAGCAGCAAGCCGGTGAGTTACCATGACCAGATTCCTATGTGTTTTTGTACTGATTGCATGAAGGCAAATTGTGATTCCTACGTAAATTCCGACTATTGTTAGTTTTATTTAAGCCGAAATTTTATTTAATGTAGTTGTCTGTTCAAAGTATTGATTAAATTGTTTTTATTTAGTTGTGTTTTTATTTGCATTTTCCCGACACGACTTGGGGGAAGAACAAAGTGGGCGTTTGGTTTTCAATTTTGAATTGTTAAAGTGGCAAAGTTCTGCAAGGAAACTATAATCTCATGAAGAGATTTGTAGTCACATTTCCATTCAGAGTGAGAAGTTGGAAGATGTAGAGTTCACTAGAAAACAAAGTACACTTACTGTTGATTTTTGTAAGAGAGCCAAAACGATCACTTTTAAAACTTGTTTCTGATTTTCGTAAATTTGAGATATGTTTTAGGACGTGTAAAAATAAGTGACACGTATTTCACCATTTTGTATTTTTATGTATGTTGAAAAATCAAGGATGTACAAAATTAAGTAACTCGGAGCAAAAAGAATTTTTATCTAAACAAATCAACATATTGAAACGATATTCTTTTTAATAATAGATATAAATAGGTACATTACGTGGTAGTACATGTATTCTAAAAATTTGTTATGAACAAATTATTTAAAAATATATTGTTTAAACAAAAAAAAACAATTAAGTTTTTAAAATTCTCAAAAAAATTATGTAAAAACTTTCATATTTTTACTATGTCTTCCACATAGGTTTCAAGACGGACGTTTTAAAAATGGCTGAAAAAAAATTTTTTTGAGAGCGTTGCATAGTGCATGATCGCCTAAAAGTAGCGTTTCTTGGAAATTTAATAGAAAAATTATCAATTACCGTCATTAATAAACTGTTCTAAAGAAAAAACATAATTTCCAATAACTTATTAACATTTATTTTTCAAAAAATATCAATAATAAAAATAAATTCTTTGTATCGACAAGTTGAAAGACTGCGATTTTTTAAATGATCATTTTAGTCGAGCGACACTCATAAACGGTACGCGAAATCTACATACTTTTATTTTAACATCAGAAAATAGAATAAAAAAAATATAGAGGAATTTGTATTTATTATTGATATTTTTTGAAAAATAAATGTTAATAAGTTATTGGAAATTAAGTGTTTTCTATAAACAGTTTATTAGCGACGGTAATTGGTAATTTTTCTTTTTCATTTCCAAGGAAACGCTACTCAAAAAAATTTTTTTTCAGCCATTTTTAAAACGTCCGTCTTGAAACTTATGTGAAAATTTTTACATAAATTTTTTGAGAATTTTAAAAACCTGCGTAATTGTTTATTTTTTTTATTTAAACAATATATTTTCAAGTTATTTGTTAATAACAAATTTTTAGAATACATGTATTATCACGTCCGTAGTGTACCTATTTATACAGGGTGTCCTAGAGCTCCGTATTTCTTCGATTACTTTGACAGTAAAGAAGATAACGAAATGCGGTTTCTTTTGGACAATAGACATTTATTTTTTCTATGCTCCAAAAATATTTTCGTCGTTATAGGAAATTTCTATATAGGGTGGCGCAACAAAGTTATATTTCTTCTTATGGAACACTTGGTATATTATGCGCTTTTTAATTTTTTAATTCTAAGAGTATCCATATTAGGTTTTATGGACCGTTTATCATTTATGGGCAATTTTATGAAAAAAAATTACTAGAAAGAAAAAGTGAATAAAAACAATTGCAACCATTTTTCCTGAGTCTGGTCCTAAATTATTATGATTGAAATTCGATCAATTTTTTGCAACTACTGCAGAGTATTGACATTCGCAAAATATCAATTATCTTGATTTTTGATTTTTTCAAACACCCTGTATGTTATTACTTTATCGTGTAGAGAAAATATTTTTGGACCATAGAAAAAATGAATGTCTGTCGTCCAAAAGAAACCGCATTTCGTTATCTTCTTTACTGTCAGAATTATCGAAGAAATACGGAGCTCTGGGACATCCTGTATATATTATTTTAAAAAAATCGTTTTAATATGTTGATTTGCTCTTTAGATAAAAATTCTTTTTGTTACGAGGTACTTATTTTTGCACATCTCTGTTTTTTCAACATAGATTGAAAGAATAAAAAATCTCATTTTTTACACGTTCTATAACATATCTCAAATTTAAAAAACTCAGAAACAGTGATTGTTTTGGCATGGAATTACTCAAGATGTTTTTGACTAGTGTAAGTATGTAAAAAATTGCTCTAAACGTCTACGAAATCAAGAAAAAATTCCAAAATTAGCAAAAATTGTCAGGTCGCAAATCACCATCCCTTATCCGAGTTCGGGGCATGACTCCAGCGCACTTTCTGCACGGCTTCAACCGCATGTGTAACCTTCCACCCCCAGTGTATAACCCCCCAGATAATTTCAGGCTAGTTTCACGAGATAGCGTCCCGAACAGCCCCAAAGTGCAAAAACTGATCGTTTTGGAAGAGACCGAAGACTTCGACTACAACCTCAACACCAACGGCAACATGGAGACCTACAAGCCCACCACCACCAAAGACATCAAAATCGCCGACGACTTGAACTGCAACCCTACCAAGGTGGAAACCACCGACTTGGTCCTCATCGACAACGCCACAAACAACGTTATCAAACTGGAAGATTTCAAAAAAGTCGATATAATCGACGACGAGAATTTTAACTGTTCAACGAATTCCCTCAACTCGGAGAATTTCTCGTCGCCGATGCAGACAAGCGCGGATGTTTTCCTCGATTCGGAGTTGTTATCGACTGATGTAGCTTCAAACGATTCGCAATCGCCGAAGAACATCCAAGTGGAGAGTACCACAAAGGCCACTTTCACCTACCAGGAACCGAAATTTTGCCCCAAACCCCAGATTTACACCTCGAATGAGTCGCTGTCGAACCCGAAAAGCGACCAAAGTCTCCTCAACTCGGCAGAGAGTTGCGGCAGTTCGCCGGTGCACAAGAGCCACAATCGGGACTACAAGAAGGTGCAGAGGAAGCACAAGAAGAAGTATTTCGGGGTGAAGACTCTCCAGAGCATTTTTAACAAACACGACGGCTATTCGGACATTTCGAGCACGGCGTCGGAACTAGGAGACGAACTACTTGAACCCAAAGACAAGGAGAAGGAAACGAGTTACAAGGTTTACACTGAGACTAGCCCCCAGTTCGAGGAGAATATCCACAATATCTTGACCGATATTTTCGTGAAAAATTTCAGTACTGAGAGCAACGTCGCGAGCATTTCTCTGAGTAAACCAATCGGGACGAAGAAGTATTTCAGTTTGCACGGGCAGAACTTGCGAGTTGGCAAAGCCTTGAGACTCTGCCCCAATGAGGATTATTCCGAGCAAGTCGAGAATGAGCAAAGGAAAGAGAAACTTCTCGCGAGATATGTCTATAATGCGAATTCGATAAATGCGGATGGTGTAGGGGACCCTGACTTTGGAACGCCTGTTTAGACTAGCCTAGTAGATGGTACGATTTCTAAATATACGAGACTTCTTCACCTAGTTGTAACAATTCACCAGGATTTTTTTGACGAATCAAAATTTTTTCGAGACTTGGCGTCACGCTAGGATATTTCTGTGTACGAATTGAATTGCCTTCAGTGTAATAAACCGAAAATTTGCTTTTGTGTCTGCTTCATTTTCCGAATAGTAGATAGTCATCTAAGCTAAGCACTCTTCAAATTGCAGGTTGATTAAACAAGTAAAATTGCTTTTGTTACTTGTGTATACATTGCTCAAAATGGTATTAAAAATGACCCCTTGAAACTTTTTGTTGTTTTGTGAATATACATTTTTTGTAATATTGATCAGCACTTTAGTTGGGATAATAACAAAGTGGAAACGTTCGAATCGAGTTGCTTTTTTAATTATATTACGACAAATCTACTTTCTACATAAGTAAGTCGTGTAAGAGTTAATTATGTAGTTAGTACAAGAAATTTATATTGTAAGTTTAGCTAATGTATGACGTTTTAATTATGATTGTAAAACTGTTATCGTTATTAAACATATCTGTCATAAATAAAAAGTTTATGCTGAAGTAGTTCACCCTTATTGAGCATTTATTTCCACTGTTCAGTACTGCCAACTTATTCACACAAACTATACCTTTTTAACAACAATAATTGATGTGAAAAAAAATTATAAATATTACAATGTTGGAACAAAAACTCATTTATTTACTTTTACAGTGATCAATAGCAATTATTATGTTATTTTCTAATACTCAATAGACATGAAAACCCTGTTATTTCTGACACAAACAACTTTCCTACCTTTAATAGTTAACTATGTAATTACCCATCATCTATTTTACTGAAAAATTCATCATGAAATAGCCCAGTCAAATTAGACAAATCGGTGGAAAAAAATCCTTGAGAGTTGGATTTTTTTAAACGCTTTTTTACACTTGGGTACACATACCAGGTGAATAAAAAGTATGGAACCAACATTTTTTGCTTAAACTATTTATTTTTTGAATTAATTGAATTAATTTTTATTTGAGTTCTACAAAAAAAATATTTGTTTAAATGGCAACCCACTACAAAATCATTTTTCTCATAAATGCTATACTCTAAGAATTACAACTATCCGCTTTATATATAATTTTTACACATAAATTGCAAATTTTGACAAAAAAAATCGCATAACTCAAAGAAAAAACAAAATTTCGTTCTGAAAATACGATCACATTTATATTACACTAATTTATATTAATTATTATTTGCTGGAGGCAAATGATTAAAAATAAAACCGCTTGGTTCCATACTTTATATTCACCCTGTATATCAAAAGTCCCCGAAGGTGGGGGGCGAGTTCGAGGAGGGGAAGGGGGTTCAAGGTGTTTTTTTTTTAGGTTTTTTGCTTATATCTCGGAAATTATCACTCCTACAGGTTTTTATCTTTTTATCAAAATTAAATCTTAAAAAATTTCCCACAAAAATGGTCATTTGCATTTTTGTTGTAGGACTAACTGTAAGTGAGTTATAGGGCAGACAAAAAACATCATTTAAAAAAATGTATTTAAAACATTTGTCTTGTAATTTAAAAAAAAACTGACAGTAAATTAAATTTACTGGGTCGAATACTTCATTAAAGGAGAGGGGAGTCACGAGGGTCTACGAATACAAACTCATCGTTTATGTAATTTATGCAGAATTTTCTGTAGAAGTCTATTTCTGCATCAAAATTTTTTACAAAAATGGTCCTATTCATTTTTGTCGTAGGACTAACTACCGTAGGCTTCATTAGTTTGGAGTCTACATAAAATTGCATTAAAAATCCTTTGAAACATATTTTATTAGTATATGGTAAGTATTTATACCAGGTGAATAAAAAGTATGGAACCAAGCGTTTTTTTCGTAAACTAAGCACTTTACGAAAAAAATCATTAGTGTAGCGTAAAGTACAATTAAATTGTGAACATTTATCAAGAATAACATTTTTCGAAATTTTTTTTAGTTTTCGAGTTCTGGAAAAAAAAATTTTTAATGGCAATCTACCATGGTAATTTTTTTAATTAAAGATTGTAATCTAAAAATGACCTCTGATTAAATAAAATTGTTTTTTAGCCAGTACTTTTTTTAAAATTAATTCTTAAAGATGTGTTCCGAGCTCATTACAAAGACTTTTCGAACTCAACCGAAGTGGTTATTTCATGCATTTCATCATAGGAGAGCGCTGATTTCTYTGCAGGTGCTTTGGGGTGGTTTCGAATGGACTAAAAACAGATGAAAATGATTTGTTATTACATTTTTTGATCCATCCGGAACAACCCCAAAGCACCTGCACAAAAAAGCGGGCTCTCCAACGACCAAAGTCATGAAACGACTCCCTCGTTCAAGTTCGGAAAATCTTCGTGATGGGCTCGGAACGCAACTTTAACAATTTATTAAAAAAAAGTACTGACTAAAAAACAATTCTGTTTAATTAGAGGTCATTTTTAGATCATAATCTTTAATTAAAAAAATTACCATACTGGGTTGCCATTAAAAAAAAAATTCCAGAACTGGAAAACTAAAAGAAATTTCGAAAAATGTTATTCTTGATAAATGGTCACATTTTAATTGTACTTTACGCTACACTAATTATTTTTTTCGTAAAGTGCTTAGTTTACAAAAAAAACGATTGGTTCCATACTTTTCATTCACCTGGTATGTGTAGAGCCATATAAATAAAAATTTTGGAAGAAAGAGAGAATCAATCTCTAAGGGGGTTACATCATGTTTTTTGTCAACCCTATAACTCGCTTACAGTTAGTCAAGGACCATTTTTGGAGAAAATTTTAATAAGAAGGTAAAAACCGATAGAAGTGATAATTTCCGAGATATAAGCAAAAAACCAAAAAAATACACCTTTAGCCCCTTCCCTCTACTCGAGCTCGACCCCCACCCTTGGGGACTTTTGATATATGTCTACCCAAGTGTAAAGAAAGCATTAAAAAAATCCAACTCTAGGATTTTTATCGCCCTATTTTTGTCTAATTTGACTAGGCTAAAATCAATTTGTTTATAATTATCTGTTACCCCTCAACTCAACAAAAGGCAAACATCCCTTACTAACAATACTAGAAACCTCTAGAAACTAAGTTTCACCACGTTTTAGAACCTGAATCGCTCAAACATCGTCATGGATACGTTTACAATGATCGCCAAACAAGTCAGTGCCTTGTTTTCTCCCTCGAACCTCACGAAATGTAAATAATTGAAAAATCGGTCGAAAAATGTGAACAGCAAGTGGGCGTTTATCATAATGACGTTGCTGTTAGTTTGAAGGGGTGTTATGTGTCGTGGTGCGGCCAACTTTTCGGTTTCTGGCGGGAATTCGTAAGAGTGTCTCGAAATGGCTGTGCAGGAGAAAGGGATTTCGAGAAGACGAACGATTCATCCCAAAGCGATGTTGGAGATAGACGACAATCCTTTGGATGATGTTAATATTAATATTATAGAAGATGGGGAAGTGGCCTACACGTATTCGAGCTCGCCGAGAGCGCTTTACACCAACAGGAAGATGGTGATTGGAAGGTAAAAATAAACGGGTTAGTTTGGCGAATGCGCCGGTCTTATCTCAGATAACGCCTGACATGAATGAAATTACCACATTTGTGTAAACAGAAAGATTTTTTTAATATGCAATTTTTAGTGGACATTGACATTATATTGTTAAAAAAACCAAAAGAAGTTTAAAGTTGGAAACACGATTTTTTAAGGTGGTTCCTTTTATTTGAGAAAGAACTGCAGAAATTTTGATTTTTAATTATGTTTGCTTAGTAAACAATTACTGTTTTGGTGGATGCGCCGGGCTAATTCCAGATGCAACAAAAAACAATTATTATGAATTATCTGAATTCAGTTACATTAAAAACAAAAAAGTACAGTTAATTTTGGTTGCAGAATTGGTTTAGGAGCGAAAACATATTTATTATTATCAAAATATTCTGTCTAGGAAAAAACGGAAAATTGGTTAAACTAGCAGTGTGATATTTTTACTTAATTTGTTTTGTAATCCTTGAACATAGATTTTGTACTTGCAACATTTTTGTAAAAATAGGTGACATATTTCAGTATAGGTAAGTACGAGTATTCTTCTCTATAATTAATTACAACGCTCGTATCTTACCGAAAATTAAATTTTTGGTGTTGATATACCTAACATTGTTAATTTATGTTTTATGACTAAAAAGTGCAAAATGGTTATTTAAATCAGTTAACGCCATATTGTTTGCATTTGTTTTTATTCAAATCACGTAACTTGTTACAATACATTTTCAAGAAACCTTGAAAATAGTGATTAAGAGATAACTAAATTTCTTTTGCTTCGTGTGCAATATCAAGTTTCTTTCTTTATTAGAAAGTTTGTTACTTAGGTCTGATCGATCACCCCTCAACACTCAAAAACCGTAAAATTATTTATAAATTTGTGGTTTTTACACGCCACCGCGTCAGCCGCCACCCTCTCTTACTTCATATTTAATTTCAGTAATGAAATGTTCCGTCAATAAAATTATTTTCCGTTTTTATGATCGATAGGTTTAGGAAAGGTGAATGGACTTGCTGGGTAGGAAGGTTGAGACGTTCAAGGTCAAAATGATTAGATTACGTGCTGCTTTGTCCAGTTCACACGCAAAATACTTGCAAATTGTTGCGAAGCGAGCGATAGACTTGACGGCGGCGGCGATAGAACCGTCGGCTTCCGACACGAAGCTTCTTTACATGCTAATAAATCTTTTTTTAATCGTGTTTGAACAGTTTGTCAGCTTTGAAACGTTTATTAACTGCCTTAATTTGCCTTGTTTCGTTAATATATCGTTAATATATCAGATTTTTTGTTTTTTGTTAATTATACAGGGTCGTTAAAAAGTATGGATACAGTTAAATATTATAAAAACTATTCATCAAAACTTATTAAAATTTGGTATATGCTTAAAAGAATTTAAATTCCATCGCCTTAGATGTTTATCAAACTTCTATCTCCATTTGTTCTGGGGATACAAGGGAACTACTTAATTAAATTTTGAAAAACGTATTTTTTTTAGTCTTGGAAATGTGTCTTTATCTATCGTTAGCTCTTTGCTGCCTGAACTTTGACCAAAAAATAGGTAAACGTGCTTTGCTAAACCGTTCTCAAAATATTTAACTCTACCCATATTTTTTTTATTTTTAATTAATTTACAAATAATCAATTATTTTATAATAAGACGAACAACTTTTTTAGTAATAAACCGATAAAATAAAAGTAATAAATCGTTTGAAGTGACGAAATCGTCATTAAAGTTACATATGATTGTCAGTAAAGACCAAAATAAGCACTAAAGTGGTTTATTATTATACTGCGATTGTGTGTATTGTGGGTTTCGGAAAAAAAATAATATGGACCTTGGCACTATAGTCATTTTCCATTACTCATGTGTTTTACACACGTTTGTGATGAAAAATGAAACTTTAGTGCTTTGATGCATAAATAACAATTTTTTTAGTGGAAATGACAAAGCCAGCTAGATTCTGTTATCATACATATTTTTATCTGTCTGCTGCCCTACATTTTTCTAAGTCCTCTATTATTTAGTGATTTTTATCTTTAGATTGTTAAATAATTTTTATTAGTTATACCAGGTGGATAGAAAATACGGAACCAAACGTTTTTTGCTTAAACTATTTATAATACTACTATAAAAATGTAACGTTTCTCAGGAATAAAGTTTTTCAAAATATTTGTTTGTTTTTGAGTTCTGTAAAATTTCGAATTTTCTAAAATGCAACCCACTGTATAACCATTTTTATAAAGGCTATGACCTAAGGATTACAACTATCTACATCTTATCCAATTTTTATGAAAAAAAGTTTGTTTATACGTTTTCACTCTGAAAAAAATCACATAATTAAAAAGTAAAAGAAAATTTCATTCTCAAAACAAGATCACATTTTTTGTAGCACTTTAATTTTTATTATTATATTATATTATTATTATTTATTATTATTATTAAAAGGCTAATTAAATGGATTTTCGGATTAATTGCAAATTAACTTTTTTTTAATTAATGAATTATCCCTTCTGTAAACCAGCATTAGGAGTATTATTTTCTTCAAGCAAATGATTACAAAAAACGGTTAGTTCCATACTTTTTTTACCCTTTATAATAGATATAATTTAAAACCCAAATATTTAATGTTTATTGAGGCAATTATTTATTAATTTATGATTCTTTGTAATCGCCTCATCACGTAATATCGGTAAAATGTTTCATTATAATTTGACTACTATGCTTGATTCAACATAAATTATATAATTTTTCACTGTTTAGGACATGTGCCTGTAACTGTGTCACCCCATGAATGTTTGATCTAGACAAATCAAAAAAAAATTATCGATTCTTGAGGGCAATACAGTTCATTCAATGTGGGTTAAAAGATCAATTATCCAGTTAGTAATAAATATTTAATTGTATTGGTAATTAAAAAATTAAAATTAATTAAATGGCGTAAACATAAACATATCTAGACAATTGTAATAAGTGCAACAATTTGTTCTTCACACATGTAGGTATAACCAAAACTTTTTTGTATTGAGTATCAGCTACAAAGTTATCTAATATGGTAATTGACCCAAAAGTGTACAATAGCCACGAACTTACTTAAATGTAAGTTCGTGGCAATGCCTGATGATATTAGTGATAGCAAGCTGATCATATATGTCATCCAAAAAACATCGCAGAAAAAAACTCAAAAAGAAGTACCAGTTGTGGATGACAATTCTTAATATTCTACAATTATTTTAATTATATCAGTGACTGTGAATTTTTTTATAAACATTTTTTATTTAATTAATTATTTACGTGTTAAGGTTCAAATATTTTAACTCATTAGTACCAAAAACAATAAAAGACAAGTCTTAATAGGGACTGGGACACTCTGCAATTTAAAATTGACAAAAAAATAATTATTGTTTTTTGGCCTTTTCTATAAATTTAGTTCTAAGACCATGTTTTTTTGTTTATTTCAGCAAATTTTAGTGTTTTTGCGATATTTAGAAAGCCTAGACAACATTTTATCAATACACTTAATTAAATTTGATTTTTTTATCCGTACCATCCAAAGTACGTTGTTCGAGGTCAGTAAAATCATTTCCACTAATGAACAACCCTTTATTCAAGTTTTTCCACCAAATCCGGTCATTAATTTTTATGGCTTATTTTGACCTCAGAAGCCGAGGGTACTTCACCCTTGACCGTGAGCTGAAATAGCAGCCATTGTGATGGCGTTCGCCGATGACCGACAGATATGCTAATTCCTTTACTGCGGACATTTTGAAAGTCACGACATGTTACAGGACCCTTGTTTTATTTTCAGCATTCCTTTTTTAATTGCAACATAAAGAATGTCGTCTGTGTTGAAAGATTATCGGAGAGTTCAACGAATTTTTGAAAATTGGTTTTTGAATGAATTGTGAATTTTGATAATTTTATTACTCATGTGTTTTACACACGTTCGTGATGAAAAATGAGACTTTGCTTTGATGCATAAATAGCTATTTTTTTAGTGGAAATGACAAAGCCAGCTAGATTTTGTTATTATACATATTTTTATCGGTCTACTTCCCTACATTTTTCTAAGTCCTCGATTACTTAGTGATTTTCATCTGTAGATTGTTAAATAAAAAAAAATTATTAGTTATACCAGGTGAATAGAAAATACGGAACCAAACGTTTTTTGCTTAAACTATTTACTTTACTTTAAAAAAATACCTACTAAAAAAATGTGACGTTTCTCAGGAATAAAGTTTTTCAAAATATTTGTTCGTTTTTGAGTTCTTATCAGTAAAATTTCGAATTTTTTAAAATGCAACCTACTATAAAACCTTTTTTATAAAGGCTATGAACTAAGGATTACAACTATCTACATCTTATTCAATTTTTATCAATATTATATATTATTATTATTATAAAAATATTATTATTATTATAAAAAAATTATTTGACCCGGCAAAAGAAGTAGAAACCATTTGACAGACGGTTATGCAAGACATAATTCCCTGACAAATAATTTCAACAACCTTTATACTCCACTGACCCGGCGGTTTAGACCTGCAGTCAGGCAAGATTCACCATTACGGATATTGCTATCAAGTAATGATGTTGATGAATTGTTTGAAATGAGATTAATGTAAGAAAAACCCCCTAAATTTCCCAATCTAGCGTCACTACAGATCTTCCGCCTCGCAACTTAATGAATTACTATTAATTAAATTATTATTTATGTTATTATGAATTTCGTTAATATTGAGACATTTCCTAACAATATTACAAGTTTTTAAGAGGACTGCTTTTTGAATCTCAATAATTAAATTTGAATTTAATTTTAAAAGTTCAAGATTAACTTTTAAATTATTTGGTACTACTCCAATTGGCGGAAATGATTATCGGTACTATTTTGACCTTTTTCATGTTCCACATGTTTTTAATTTCATTAGCAAGGATCATGTATTTAGAAATTTTTGTTTGATAAGTCTTCTGGATATTGTGAGTGTTTGGAACTGCAATATCAATTAAAAATGCATGTTTTTCAGTTTTAGAAATAAGAATAATATCTGGTCTATTAGCTGTTATATTCAAACTAGTTAAAACTGTTCTGTCCCAATAGAGTTTGTAATTATTATTTTCTAGAATCGAATCTGGTTTATATTTATAGTAAGGTGATTTATTTTGAATTAGGCCAGAATTAAAAGCTAATTGAGAATGAATTATTTTGGCCACATTGTCATGCCTAACTTTATAATCTGATGCAGTCAATACTTGACAGGAAGAGATGAGATGTTGAATTGTTTCTGATTGTGTTCCACACAGTCTACAAAGATCATCATTATTACTTTTGATTATGTATTTTGTATAATTTTTCGTGTTGATCACTTCGTCTTGGATTGCAAAAATGAAACCTTCAGTTTCTGCAAAAATGTTTGTTTTTGTTAACCATAAGTGAGAAGCTTTTGTATCAATGTAGCTGTAGTCTAATTCTTTGAAAAATCTACCATGTAAAGATTTTTCTTTTAAATTTTCTATAGTTACACTTTCGGTTATAATTGTTTCATTTATGTTTGAATCACTTAAATTCAATGGTGTAAAATTCTCATCACTCAAACAAATAGCCCTGATCAAAATATTATTATTACTCTGATCTAAGAAATATTTCCTAAGTGAGGAAATTTGTCTACAATATAAATTAAGTAAATTCAAAAAACCACGCCCTCCACTTTCTCTTGATAAAGAAAATCTTTCAATGGATGATTTTGGATGGTGTTTTCTAAACTGAGTAAACAGTGTTCTGATTTTGATATTAATGTTATTAATATCTGTTCTTGTCCATTTAATGACTCCAAATGAATTAACTAATACTGGTATTGCAAATGTATTTATAGCTTTCATAAGATTTTTTGAATTTAATTGWGTTTTAAGCAATTGTTTAGACTTCATTATGAAACTATCTACCAGTGTTTCTTTAATATTACTATGTGATATTTTATTTGACTGTTTGAAACCTAAGTATTTATATAAATCATTAATTTTAAGGCTTTCAATATTTTCACTATTTTCAGTCAAATAATTTAAATTTATAAAATGACCTTTATTAATTGCTAGGAGTTTACATTTATCTACTCCAAAAGACATACCTATATCTGAAGAGAA